GGCGACTAACGGGATCGGGTGGTCAAGCTCGCTGACTTGATTGATACATATCATCTATCCCAAATGCGTGGATCGATGCCCATGATATCAATCACTGGATGGTCTGGTCCAGACTCGATTATTTGCAGACTGCCGTCATATAGCTGGAATTGGAGTGCGGCGTTAAACAAGCAGCCAACCAAACATCGTGCCAAAAGCCCAAAGACGCTCCGCGGGTTGTATACACAAAGAATGAATGAAATCAAGTAAATCACAATGGTATGACAAGCACAATCAGTGGGCTTGACAGAAATAATTGTACAGTGAGATTAAATGACCTCCCTTGGAAGTGTCAAAATAAAGGAATGACACCCTGCGCACGTGCAACTTATGTGTTTTGGTGTTATGACAGAATGGGTTCATGTCACTTATAATTTTTTTTAGTTTTTGCATGCTAACACTGACACATCTTGATAACACTGACACATCTTGATTTGACTTAACCTTAAAGACTGTATATGTATCATAAATGTTTAAGCAAACTTCTGCTAAACCCTACGCGTTTTCTGCGATACAGAAAAATGGTACCTTTAACACTATCCGCATGCTGTGAATAATTACAATCGAATTCGTGAGATTTTGCCTAATTTGTAAACGTTAACGTCAGAGTAACAGTTTTCATTGGGCGTAAATGGCAAAATAGTGATGAAAATTACATTGATCACTGAAAATCAGTCATGTCTGCATGTGTTGGTGAAAACAGTATGTCCTGCTCTACTTGTAGCATCCGCCACATACAAAAATGTTCATTTAAAAAAAGCTGATCGTTTGAGGGAGTCTGTCCCTCTCCGTCTGTTGTCCACACCGCGATGTCCAGCCACAGGGCAGCGGCTTAAAAACAATCAAGTCTGGACCAGACAATCTAGTGATTAGCTAGACGTCACAAGTCGTTGTGGTAACACGCTACACTGTAAACCATGTCACCAAGCATGACCACGCGACGATGGGTAAAACATATTTTAACTTTCAAAATCGGAAACATAATTTACAAAATAGTTTGAGACTGTCTCCTTGTCTGTGACATGAAATGGCAGGAGTTGCTCACCTTTGTTTCACGAATCGATCAGTTCAGTGTTTCAGTTTTACATCTTTACAAACAAACTTGTGTCTATTGTTAAAGTGAAATGTGTGTTTGAATTGAAGCATGAAGACTAACGAAACATGAAGTCATCGCAACTCACTCGCTGCAAACAGTATTGATTTTTCGCGAGTCACCAGCTACTGTGCCGAGGGGCGGTGAATGTTCTTGTTTTCGATACAGGCAAAATAGTAACTTTAACATAACTTAATTGAATATATTTATGTTTAATCATCATTTCAAACAGAGTGGAAACTTATCTGCATGTGTTGAATCCCCCCAAAACGAGGGGAATGGAGGCCATTCCCTTACTCGGGTCATATAATACGCATTTCCACATACATCTATGGTAAAGTAAACCATATGTTGGTTTCAGCTGTGAGAGGTAAACCTGTATACCAGCTTGCCTTTTCAACTGGTCTGAGGCATGACGCTTTCCCGTCACCAAGTCCTTCGGAACAGCAACATCTTCCTGAACGTTGGCAACGCATATAACACAGACACAGGGATATTTAAATGTCCTCAGTGTGGGATCAACATCTTCCAAGTCCACGCTCTGTCTCAGAATGGTAAAGAAGTTTCTCATCGCGCCATCATTCTCAGATCTACAGTGAGTGAGTGAGTATTATGGTTTTACGCCGCTTTTAGCAATATTCCAGCAATATCACGGCGGGGGACACCAGAAATGGGCTTCACACATTGTACCCATGTGGGGGAATCGAACCCGGTTCTTCGGCGTGACGAGCGAACGCTTTAATCACTAGGCTACCCGACCGCCCCCAGATCTACAGTGAACTTTGTCAGATACTGCGTTGCATAAGGGTGTAATACAATAATATAACTCCAGCCCTTGCATTTTCTTGTTGTTTATGTAAATGATGGACTACAGTTGCTCTCAACCTATATCTATAACACACTTATATTTATAAGATCCCGATTAGAATTGATCTTCAGGAACCCATTCCAGTCGAAAGAGGCGACTAGCAGGATCGGGTGTCAGACTCGCTGGACTAGTTGGTGCATGTCATCGTATCCCAATTGCGGGGATCGATGATCATGTAATGTCTTGTCAAGAGTCGATTGTGTACAGGCCACCGTCATATAACTGGAATAACTGGCGTTAAACAACAAACAAACAAACATGAATAACGTAAATGTTGAATGAATCCATGATCAGCCATACAAAATACAGCCATCCTTGGGTTTGCCACTTCACAACATCTTAAATGGTTACATGGAAACGAAAATGTTGAATTACTAACATTTTAAATATACACCAACAGAACAACTGATTCCACTGAAATAATGTGACTTCTACCAAGTACATTATGTGCTATGAACATATATAGTAACTAAGCCCCCTGCCAACACGTGAATATTAAACTTGACATTAGATTGTACTACTTGTTCATCAACTAACTGATCATGAGTCAAAAGAAGTATAGGTAAGTGAGGATAATTCTATGCATTGAAGTACCAACTTTCGCTCTATAAAATCGTTTACAAAACGTACGACCTTTAACAAGCAGGAACAAAAAGCAGGTGAGGAATATAATATGCTTCGTTGTCAGGTTATTTCGTGCACCGTACGTGTGTATTGCGAAGTAAAGTTCGAAATCAATAAAGTGCATCTGTGGTAATGGGTTTGTCACATACGCGTGCACTGTTGGTGTGCTTTACATATGTGCAGTGTGAACGGCAACTGATGCTATCTCATATTCAATGGACCTGTGAACAAATTATTATGGGTGCTATGTTTTTGAACTGATATGTAACATGTGCTACATCCAAGCTATTTTATATTTCATCACTAACGTGTTGACGTGTATTTACAAAATACTACACTCCTTCCCTTCAGATGGTTTCCGAATAAGTGACTGACTGGGTTTCATGTGAGGAAGCGAACTAGGTGTTGTTGCGACGAGCTTTAAAGCTGAATATTTACATTACGACTCTTTATCAGTGCGATGCGTATTGAACTGTCATTTCAAAACCACTCCATGAACGACATTCCTTTCCGATACAGATGACATCAAGAAGTACACACGGATGCAAATGCAATATTCTTATCCTGATAATAAAGCGACAAAACCCTTACCATGTCCAATAGAAATCTCTGCATAAAGCAGAGCCGATTGTGCGATTCCGACTATATCATGAGCATGTGTTTACGAATCTCTATCAAACAGTAATGATACAAGGTGTTCGCGAAAAGGTGAACGTATCCTGCCCCATCGGTGTCACCCGTCACACACGGAAGTGTTTTCGGACTTTTAAAGATACAAATATTACCTCTGGTTTCAGGTATTAGAAGTAAAACATAAATATTTACGTAACACGATTAAACACAATTTACATGAAAAAACGACCGGAATATACCGATGGGAAGTTAAAATTTAATTCATTCACTCATACTTGAAGAAATGCATTACGTTTGTCTTCACATTGCAAAACCCATAATAACTAGTCAGCCGTATACTGAATTCAGCCTACTTATATTATTTCCATTTTTTATCAGAAACACTCAGCCAAGTGTAGTTTATCCAGGTTTTCCTTCACACGCAAAGTGATTTTTATGTTTATGTTAATTTTTCTCACTCACTCAAACAATCACTTTAATACAGTCATGGGTCTTCTTGCTGGACTTATATCTGTTTTTGCATCTGCATTTTAATCAGAAGAAGAAAATGACATGACGATATCCGTGTGTCATGGTCAGGATATTTCGATATTCTTTGCGTGCAACGAAATTAAGAACCGACATCGATCTTCGTTAGTCAGTAGCATCTTTTGTGACGCTCTGAGTGAGTGAGTGAGTGAGTTGGGTTTAACGCCGCTCTCAACAGTATTCCAGTTAAATCACGGCGTGTCAGCTTAATGTGGGAGGAAAGCCCGAAGTGATGCAGGTCTCAGACGTTTACCACTTGGTGACACCCACGAGCGCGGGTATGGTGCTGACAAACCTAGGAACAGTCGGGGTGAACCTGGATTCAAACCTACAATCATATGTTTCTGCCGTGCCAAAGGGACGCAACTCTGCACAGCGAATTGCGACGTATCAGACGACTGGGCCACCCGTGCCTTACTATAAACTCTGCCGCAACAGATACAGTATACCTGCATATGTATGTGTGCATGGATGACGATTCCTATGTCAGATCGTGTGAACACACTCTGTTGTCAGCATGTTTTATTAGAAGAGGTATGCATTTCATCTTAACAGGCGATCATACGACATGATAAAGTACTATGCTTTCATCAAATATAATGTCAGATATCCTCTTAACAATATGATTATCATATGCTCATCAAATCTGTTTTTATTCAGATCTTTAGCACTACATCTGGAAGCAGGTTTAATCATTGCATTAAAAAAAACAAATTAACCGTTTCTATCAAATTTAAAACAGTAATCAAATTTTATTAAAAGTAAAAGAGAGTCATTACAGTGTCATGTTTCAATATACAGTACAATATATTAATCGTCGGACCATGACAGAAAAAAGATTGACATTATATGAAAGGTCAAGGCGTTTCTCAGAAGGCGTATTTCTGTTTCCTGGTTTGTCAGTAACAATCAGTCAGGCATAGTTTAGCGAGGTCTCCCTACAAAAAAAGTTGTCATTGTTGTTGTGATGTTACTTTATGTTTCTAAAAAAACAAAACCAATATACCTAGCGTCTAAGGCTTGGCAGATATTTTCAAATTTGAAGAACTGCCGTGTACATTCTGATCTTAGTGATACGCAGAGACGTTATACAACAATAGAACAATAGTTCGAATGGCTTGTTTTTCAGTATCCCAATACGACCGCGTGTTTCAAATAAAACTGACTACTCATGTTACCTTTACTCGCTAATGTTGCAGCGATGTGAAACGTGGGGCCGAGGTGTGAACGACACATTGTGAAGTGCAGTCTTGAATTACATTTGACACCCATACTCAATATAAGCCCCAGTGTATGACGCAGTAGGTAACACTCTAGAGATGACTCGATGCTCTGTCTTCATTTTGCTGGTGACCCTTGTTGGTAAGTATAATATTACATCATTTCAGAATTTCTTTGATGATCTGGGCTAGAGGGATTGAAGTGAATGATCACTGCTTCGAAACACAATTTTTTCTCTGAAATGAACCGTCAAATGTATTTTCATAACACATTCTTACAGGACATCCAGTATGTCCAACTTACAACGAGTTACTTTTTTACTATAATCGGGGGGAAACTGGAACAGTTTGGCACAGTATTCCAGTTAGATCACGTCGTGTAATAATAGTTACATTACTGGGGGAGTAGGGTTCACTGTGACCCACACACCATCTGGACATACACGTGTATCCGTGCTTCTCATGTTACTAATTTTCTTTATTGTTACGTTCGGGCTATACAATTTGTCTTTGCTTCGTTTTGGTGTTTCCAACATCGACATTATTAATGTGTTTATGCTTGCTTCACGTTTCTTTATTTACTAATTTCTTTCATAAACCATGCGTTTCTATTATTAGTAGTAGATTGATACCCAAAGATTAATACATGATCTACCCCCACAAAAAACCTGTTTTGAAAGTTCTGGGACTGAGCAATTGATATAGGGGTGGGACGAGTGAGTGAGTATGGTTTTACCTCACATTTTAGCAATATTCCAGCAATATCACAGCGGGGGACACCAGAAATGGGCTTCACACATTGTACCCATGTCGGGAATCGAACTCGGGTCTTCGGCGTGACGAGCGAACGCTTTAACCACTAGGCTACCCGACCGCCCCAGGGGTGGGACGAAGGAAAGTGGGTGGCTGAAGGGAGTTTTGCAGGACTTGAAAGGAAACGAGCAATCTGTTTTCACAATACATTGTGTACGGCAAGCTGTCCTGATGTAATTATGATATAACATTCAGTTACCCAATCTCCCTACTTCATTTAATTTAAGAAATTTATTGGTGCTCAGGCCTTTCTGTTGGATGTCGGAGGGCGCGGCAATTTTCTCTTCGGCTGGGTATGGGAAATAATCCAAATTCATTCCGTGTGCACTTATTGGTTGTCAGCAACACAAAGTCCTTGTGGGATTCACTAAAATCGGCGGCCTGCGTCACCTTGGCTTTCTGCCTTCAAACGCTAAAAGCTAAAACGATTCATACCATCATATATGATTTCCCATACCCAGCCGAAGAGAAAACTGCCGCGCCTTGAAGAGTTCCATCTCACATCCAGCAGAAAGGCCTGAGCAACAATAAATTTCTTAAATTAAGCGGGGCGGTCGGGTAGCCTAGTGGTTAAAGCGTTCGCTCGTCACGCTGAAGACCCGGGTTCGATTCCCGACATGGGTACAATGTGTGAAGCCCATTTCTGGTGTCCCTCGCCGTGATATTGCTGGAATATTGCTAAAAGCGGCGTAAAACCATACTCGCTCGCTCGCTTAAATTAAGCTGAATCTTCGTTTGTATAAGTTATACAAACAAGTGATTTTTTCAGGTGCATAAGCATTAAATATACAAAAACAGTCCAGATATCTGTGCTTGTCAAAACTTCTTTATGTACACAAGATCTTTCGCCGCTCAACAGCTCTTCAGTTTAGGGAAAACGTAAACGTAGTCATAGGCGACGCACAGCAGCCGTATCTGTGGCGTCATAATGCCTATGACGTCACAGTTATACTCAAGAGTAACTTATACGAAGCACTAAACAGCCTAAAGTCTCATCCAAATGCTTACAAAATACAAGTACCATCAGTGTAACAAAATGTCACACACCTCGATGTGAAACTTGCCCCATATTAATTAAAGACTAAAAATTTCAATTTTGCGAAGATACATGTAAATTATTTACAGTCCAAAACAACATGAACTGCCGCAGTAAAAGTGTAAAATATGTTTTAACATGTGCGGGATGTGGTGAGCATTATATTGGACAAACTGGTATGTACACAGACAGCAGTTCGTGATCCAGATGCACGTTGTATAAATGTAAGCAAACAATTTGATGAATGCGGGAGTGGCAATTTTACTGTCCTTCCGTTTTATGAATTGTTTAACAATCTCAAACATTTCCAAATGGAAAAAAGAATAGATGTTCATTAGAAACCTAAACTTAATTCAAAAGTATAATTTTCAAAACCTCCTCATGAATCTCAATGTGTATGTGTGCACTCACACTATCATGTATTTACACACCCTCTATTGTCACGAACTGTTATGTCATAGATATAATGACGCCACGTATACTGCTGTTGCGCGTCGCACATGACTACACCTGAAGAGGGGCGGTCGGGTAGCCTAGTGGTTAGAGCGTTCGCTCGACACGCCAAAGGCCCGGGTTCTATTCCCGACATGGGTACAATGTGTGAAGCCCATTTCCGGTGTCCCCCGCCGTGATATTGCTGGAATATTGCTAAAAGCGGCGTAAAACCATACTCACTCACTCACTCACTACACCTGAAGAGCCGTTGAGCGGCAAAAGATCGTGTCTGCATAAAGGATTGTTGACAAGCTGGAATCATATAGATTATTCAAAGGGAACTGGGGGCACGGGTAGCCCAGTCGTCTAAGGCGCTGCGATTCGCTGTGCAGAGCAGCGTCCCTTTAAACGTATGATTGTGGGTTCGAATCCCAGTTCGCCCCGATTATGTTTCTAGGTTTGTCAGCACCATACCCGTGCTTGTGCTCACAACGGGCTTTTCTCCCACATTAAGCTGACACGCCGTGATATAACTGGAATAACGTTAACAGCGGCGTTAAACCAAACTCACTCACTCATGCAAATTGTGCGAATGGCGTGTGCTACCGGTAGAGCAGGTCATGCTTATTCTTTTCGATATACATTCCTTCCTCTATTACAATGTCGCATGAATAAAAAATAAATAAATTAATATTTAGTTTTTTTAAAGACAGAAGCGATAGTCTTTTATATGAGACGTTGTTGAAGGGGTTTACCAAATTAAAACTATTCACCTGCTGGTTGATTATTGAGTAACAATGAACACATTACTTTCAGCTGTGGGTGGCGAGAGTTTCTACCAGCTTGCCTTTTCAGCAGGCTTTAAGCGGGATGCTACCTTTGCTCAAGGACAAGCCATTGTCTACGAGCAGATCCTCCTCAACAATGGAAATGGCTACAACAGGACCATGGGCATATTTTATTGTCCCCAGAGTGGAGTGTATGCATTTCATTTCCATGTCATTTCTCAAAATGGTAAAGAGGCATACCTGCAGCTTCATCACAACCACAACAGAGTGGCGAGCGCCTATTGTCAACCACCTGGTCACACGGCTTCTGGGAACTCCGCTATCCTTCATCTGAAGACTGGCGACCAGGTGTGGGTGGAAGCAGCAAGGACTGCATATTTGCATGGGACTCCAGCCAACAGTTACACTACATTTTCTGGTTACCTCATCTCCCCTTCGTTCGATGTAAAACGTTAGTAGTCCAAGATGATGCTACAACATGTGCTCATTGTGTCCGAAATGTAGAAAGTGTATCACACAGAGCACACAACCATGTAAAGATCTTGAATCAGAGATACAATAAAGCATGATATGTGTGCGGCGTATGTTATTGCTAAAGTCTTCGGCCCGTGAAGATCCGGGGTAGAATAGGTCTTCAGCAACCCATGCTTGCCGTAAAAGGCGACTAACGGGATCGGGTGGTCAGACTCGCTGACTTGGTTGATGTATGTCATCGATCCCAATTGCGAAGATCGATGCTCATGTTATCAATCACTGGATTGTCTGGCCCAGACTCGATTATTTACAGACCGCTGACTTATAGCTCGAATATTGCTGACTGCGGCGTTAAACAACAAACAAACAAAGCTCAGGTCGTCAATGGTGAACGGAACACGACAGAGGGCCCAGGGAGTAAGTAGGGTTTAACGCCGCTTTGAACAGTGTTACAGTTATATCAAGGCATGAGAGCTTATGGTCAAAGGAATACCCGGAGTGATGCAGGTCTCCGACGATTACCACTTTGGTGAAATCCAGGAGCACGGGTGTGATGCTGAAAAACCTAGAAACAAAATAGGGACGAACCATGATGCGAAGCCAATATCATACGTTTGTGGCGTGCCAAAGGGATGCCACATTACACGGCGAGTTGCGGCACCTTAGACGACTGAGCCACCCGTGCCATCGACTGAGAGGAACAAATGTAGATAAACCCAATATACCATTAGGTTTATGTAAAGAATGTAAAAATTCTTATGTGAAAAAAGTGACGATGGGCGGGCTGATCGACGCCACCAATTAAGCGTGTTTTGATTATAAACAAGAAATTCGGTAAGTCAGCTGTACAAATTTCAACAGGAATTTTCGCTCGGAATCGAAACACACCATATTTAAAGTTTTAGAAAATGTTAGCTCCCAAAGCATGCAAAGTACGGCTTCGATTTTTGTTGTTTAACGCCGCACTCAGCAATAAACAAGAGAGAGAGAGAGAGAGTGAGAGAGAGGGCAATAAACAACAAACAAACAAATCATACAAAATGGCGGCCTTCAGTGAATTCAATCTGATCGATAATAAAGATATATATTGTAATAAAACGGGTCTGAAGCAAATGCATGTGATATGCGAGATGGGATTTGATTGGTCATAGAAGGGACATAGAAGAGACATAACCTGACATCATTTAATTTGAAAGTATACACAGTAACAAAAGTTTAGCAACACCCAAATCTTGAGCATACACATATTACATAGTCTGTATGATGAGGAATGACATTACAAGACATGTCACCATGACCTATACACGGGTGTAAGGCGTCATTCAAATTTGAAATTAAAGATTAGACATCTTCAGAAAGACCATGAAATCAAATAACCTCCAGTACACTTTGAATCTTGAAATTATAAAAGAGAGATGCTGTAGGATTGCCCTTGTTAACATCATAGCATGATAAGTAAGAATATCGTCCTATATATGTTTGCCTTTAATATACTAGTTCTTTCTCATGGAACTATTTTAGTACAAGAATACCCCCTGAGAGATGTACGCGATCTGAGGGTTCGCATACTATGGAAAACGCTTATGTGTGTGCGTGCGTGCGTCTGTTTATGCTAGATCGAGCTAATGCCAGTTTTATAGCACTCGCCCACTGAGATACCACGCCCCAGTTCAACATGGATACCCCACTCATACACCGTATGATTATTCTTAAGCGACCAGTGTGTGTGTGTGTGTGTCACATTCACACTGATGTGTCCTGGGGTTTGGGAATGACCTATTTGTCCTTGTCACATAAACTGGGATGCACACACTTTTTGCAGTGAACCATGCACACACGCTGACGAGAGAGAGAGAGAGAGAGAGAGAGAGAGAGAGAGAGAGAGAGAGAGAGAGAGAGAGAGAGAGAGAGAGAGAGCGTCAGTTATGTTCCACGTAGGAACTGGTCTTTTATAGTCAGTTAATGCCCTTGCATCGGGAAGATGGTTATGGATGGGAGTTGGAGTGGAATTAGAACATTGGGCGAGAGGGCGATTAGTTGGAGAAGATGGAGTGGGAGTGATGGGTGGCAACTGGGGAAGTGCGGATGGGTGGTAGATATAGAGTTAAAGCAAAAGTAAATGTATTCATCTCATCCAGGTCCACTATAGTGATAACACATATGTATACACATTGATCAAACAAATATATGATACATCACACAGAGAATTCTCTATTGCATACTACTGTTTAGCTCCATGTTGTTAAAACTATGTCAATTTCTAATTTATATAATCGACTGGTGGCCCCTTTACTCAACAGACTAAACAATGCAATGTACGTTAGTAAAGCATTACTCTAGGAAGCATAACTATACCAGAGTAACAAACAGATACAAAGCGTATTTCAACATATAACTACAGTCCGTTTGACTCCAAATGAGAACGATGAGTTGCAAAAGAACTCGAAATCCAGAAAAGAGTATGAAATATCAATACGGTACTTGACCATGATTACCCTGTACCCAACAAAATCTGAATTTTGTTTAATTTAACACCCATTTAATTTAAGTAATTTATTGTTGATCAGGCCTTCCTGTTGGACTATAAGTCAGATGGAACTCTTCAAGGCGCGGCAATTTTCTCTTCGGCTGGGTATGGGAAATAATCCAAATTCATTCCGTGTGCACTTATTGGTTGTCAGCAACACAAAGTCCTTGTGGGATTCACCAAAAATCGGCGGCCTGCGTCACCTTGGCTTTCTGCCTTCAAACGCTAAAAGCTTAAACGCCTTCATGCATTCTTATATATATATATATATATATATATATATATATATATATATATATATATATATATATATAAACAATGGATTTCTTCAGGTGTATAAGCATAGGAGTCCAATTCAGGAGTTCAGGGGTCCAGATATTTGTGCTTTAATCTCCTTTATGTACACAAGATCTTTTGCCACTCAACGTCTGTTCTGGTCTAATGAAAACTTTAACGTAGTACAACGTCAGTAGTCCTAGATGATGTTACCACATCGTAGTGCTCGAAAAGAAGAAATTGTATTACACAATTGTACATTTTATGATTCAGAGATACAATAAAGCATTATATATATTCTTAAAAAAAGAAACGCAAAGCCAGATTTGAGTGAGGAGCCGTACAAGGTTTTGAGCCAAACTGTTGTGGAGAGAACACTTGGTGATTGTAGTCATCTCAGTTATCGGTACATAGGAAAAGTCCAAGGTGAAGGTCAGCTACCATCTATAACAGGTATGTCCGCCGTTGGATTCGAGAGCGGCCTGACATCTCCTGCCCATGGAAGAGACGAGTATGCGAATCACATCCTGGGGAATGGTAGCCCTTGATTTCGATTTCGATGTGAATGCAGACATCAATTGACTGTTTCCATCTGCTTACGGAAACAATATGCTATCATTGATCACACTTCTAAAATGCAGTTGAAAGCTGAAGCTTTTGTCTTTACTTCTAACATGGCATGATATATGGGTGGCCACCAAGTGGAATAGGCTGCTGCTGCGATTCTTCTTCTGACAGTACCACGCTAGTGCATGTGAGTGAGTGAGTGAGTGAGTGAGTTTGGTTTTACGCCGCTTTTAGCAATATTCCAGCAATGTCACGGCGGGTGACACTAGAAATGGGCTTCACACATGATACCCATGTCGGGAATCCAACCCGGGTCTTCGGCGTGACGAGCGAACGCTTTAACCTGTAAGCTACCCGACCGCCCCACCACAGATAAGAGTACGATTTACATATGCTGCAGCGATTCTTTTTCTGACAGTACCACGCTGGTGCAGGTGAGTGAGTGAGTGAGTTTGGTTTACGCCGCTTTTAGCAATATTCCAGCCAAATCACGGCGGGGGACACCAGAGATGGGCTTCACACATTGTACCCATGTCGGGAATCGAACCCGGGTCTACGGCGTGACGAGCGAACGCTTTAACCACTAGGCTACCCGACCGCCCCTGGTGCAGGTGATTTGCATGATATAGTATGTATACTGTTAAAAGCGACCTTGTTTACTCATTAATTCATTGTCATTGGGATGGTGAGGTTATGAATATTGTACGTGCGAATCATCTGTTTATCATTTCCATAAGCTTTAAATTACCGAGATTGACACACGAAAACTTGAGATATCGACTGCTCGAAGCGGACGTAAAAGGGTCCTTGATAGCCGCAACAGTCACACCGCAATGCAACTGAATGAAGTGAATCATATATTCTTTTATTAGTCATCTCAAAGTCGACATATACACATAGGCAAACGTAACTATCATTATGTTTATCGATAATCCATCCATCCATCCATCCATCCACCCATCCACACCAACACCCACACCCACACCAACACCCACACACACACATTGATACATTGATACATTGACCCAAATACACAATTAGTTTGAATGGACATCTATAATTGTGATTTCTGAAAGTACATGTATATATTACATAGTCTATGTGATGAGGAATGACATTACAAGACATGTCACAATGACCTATACAAGGATGCAAGGCGGCTTCAAGTTTGAAATTAAAGATGAGACATCTTCAGAAAGACCATGAAGTTAATAGAAACAGAATCACCGTCAATCTTGGATTGGAATAAAGCGACACGACCCTTTCCATATCCAATAGAAATCTCTGCATTAAGCAGAGTCGATTGACGATTGCGACTATATCATGAACATGTGGTTTTAAATCACTATCAAACAGTAATGATACCAGGTGTTCGCGAAAAGATGAGCGTATGCTGCCCCGACGGTGGCACCAGTCACAAACACATGCAAAGACAAGTCAACATTTCACCTAAAAAGACAGGGGAACATATGCTACAAGTCAAAATAGGGAATTGCATTGGGCATGATTTTTGTCACTAATGCGTCAAATTTGTAAAGCTTTACTGAGGCCTTGAATGTTGTAACCTTGATCAAACAACTTCTGAGCAAGAGTCGTATGGCGCTCTTTGAAATCTTGGTAGAAAGAGCACGCTCGACTGTATCTCAATAGTTGTGAAATGTAAACACCAAAGGCTGGAACTGCTGGAATATTGCTCGACATGAAGGGAAAGTTGACTGTTGGAAAGTTGAAGTAGGAACGCAGGAACATTGCTGAGTGTGGCATTAAACAAGGCAGACAGACAGAAAGGTCTACGTTGGGATAACGGACTTGGGCAACAACCGATTACGATCAGTATGAAATAACCATCCATATCTAACTGGGTAATTTCATGCAGTATGACACATGTTTTTATTTATTCAAACACATTGTAATGTGTCCATATTTAATTATCTGTGTAAATTAATTGCAAAACTATCCATTTGAAAATATAGGACTGCACTTGTTCAGTTGAGGTGTTCTCCCCACCAGCTTAAAAATGAGACTGGAAAATATAAAAAGGACATCGCATGAGTAAGGTTTTACGCCGCTTTTAGCAATATTCCAGCAATATCACGGCGGGGGACACCACAAATGGGCTTCACACATTGTACCCATGTCGGGAATCGAACCCGGGTCTTCGGCGTGACGAGCGAACGCTTTAACCACTCGACCGACCCCATATAAAAAGGAACTCAAACTTCACAAATTGTAGTGTGTAGACAACATATTGTCAAAGATGATTATGGGTTTCACTAAAGGGGTAAACGTCTAATACCTCCATCACTTCGAGCTATCCTCCCTGGGCTGACATAAGTATTCTAACTGAAGTAAATGTTTTTAAGGCCGCAAATAGCAATTTACCAGCATTACCACGGGGATCGCATGAGAGTAAAGAAACATATGGAAGTGAGAAAATCGTGAGATAAATGATTTATAAGTGTGGCCACTCCTGTTGGCAGTTTTGGTGCATGTAATCACACACTCTTTAATCTGATCACACCTCCGGATCTTTGAGGATGCATTGTTTCAAAACCCAAGTTGAAATGAATAAACTGTAACACTTAGTATAGGCGTCTGTATAGGCGTCTGTTCTAGCCCAGAGAGCACGTGAGGAGAAGCATCTCTATGACAAGCGTTAACAGTAAATGAGTTTGCTGTGTAAAGCCACACTCAGCAATATTCAAAGTCAAGTCAAAGTCAAAATTAGTTTATTTGTGTGTAGGCCTTTGGCCCATATACAAGAAAATGCAGTGCCAATAATACAATGTGAAGCACATTACATAGATTTTCAGAGACTTCATGTCTTTGTTTATACGCATAATAAACCAAATATTGCAGACGTTTTAATAACTCATCCTGAGTTGTACACAATAACTTTTTGAATTTATATATTGTTGGAAACTTTCAATACAATTCTTGCAAATAAACTTTACGAAGCTCAGTATAATGTTTACAGATCAATACGAAATGATTTTCATCTGCAACAGACATATTGCAAACAGGACACATACGTAAACATGATTCAATAGATTGCCATCTACCCTCGTTCTGTCGTAAAAAGGTAAAACGTTACATCTTAATTTAATAAAAACACTGCGTACATGTTTGCCATTGTAAATGCTCAAATATCTTTCAGGTTGAAACAGTGTTTTATATTCTTTATACATCATATATCGGGTACTACTGTTGAGTGTTGACATCCAGTTTTGACGAAATTCATCTACAAGACACGTTTTAAGAACCCCAATGAAAGCTTTATTGTTCCCAACAGACTGGTTTAACCATACACATCCCAAACCATGCGAACTGTTTTTGTTATGAACAGATGCTACCCAAGTATTACGACCAATGTTGTCGAAATACATCAACATGTTATATATACTGAGTCAAATTAAAAACTTCACATTTTAAAAAGTAATCCCATATATGATATACAACGGACAAATGTATCAGAGAAGGTAATTTTTAATCATTAATGTCCAAAGAAGGATTTTAATTAACGGTGGTAACCATAATTTGTTCCAAGCACCTACGGTATTCGGTAATAACATCAACAGTTTAAATCATAAGTCCCCAGCACGAGAATCTGATGGCAAACAAGATCAGTAGCGTGTATGACCACCATGTGCGTTGACAACTGCCACACAACGCCTCCGCATGGACCTTGTGATGCTTGTGAACACATGATTGGGAAGACGACGCCATTGTTGCTGCAAAATGGTGCCAAGATCTTGCAAATTCTATGGTTGGTTCTGGAGAGTGCGCAGACTTCTGCCAAGAGCACTCCCAGACGTGTTCGATGGGATTGAGGTTGGGAGACCTTGACGGCCAGTCCATGACGTTGACTCCCGCATTCTGATGGAAATTCCTTGTCAAAATTGCTGTGTTGGGTCTGGCATTTTCGTGTTGGAAGATCAAACCGGGTCCATGTGCTGCCATAAAATGCAGAATTTCTGGTGCCAGTACCTGGTCGCGGTAAGCAGCAGCGTTAAGTTGCCACGGATGACAAGAAGCCTGGAACGTGCATTGCATAGAAAGCACCCCACACCATGACACTTCCGCCTCAAAAGCTGTCACCTTCCTGTACACAACACTGGGCGAAACGTTCATGACGGCGCCTCCACACCCTCGCCCTACCATCAGCAAATCGACGATTAAATCGGGATTCATCACTGAAGACGACTTGATTCCAATTCCTCTGAGGCCATCGTAAGTGTCGCTGTGCCAACACCGTCGTGCTTGAAGGTGAGCAGTTCTCAGACGGTTTCGAACAGTTTGCGCACTCAGTCTACCCCTTAACAGTTCATTTCTGGTTGATGTAGCCGTCAAAAATCGGTTACGGAGGTTACGTAAGACAATCTGACGATCCTCTGCATGTGACGTCACACGTAGTCGACCTGGCCGAGGGCGATCAGCGGTGGTACCCGTTTGCTGTAGACGCGTCTGTAAATCATAAACAGTCCGTCGACTACAACCCATCGTCCTTGCGGCTTCAGCTGCGGACGTTGCCTTCTGCAACATGCCAATTGCACCTTCACGTTGCACATTTGAAAGGCGTGGCATGACAAATGGCCGTAAAGACTTTTGTTTTCTTGTGTTTTTCTTGTTTGTTAATGACTGCTAACAAGTATGGCTGAAAACAGGTGCGGTATTATGGCCACGTGACCAGTTGCACGTGAAAAACCACTTTTGCCACTATAGTGCTGTGCACATAATTTTGATCGATTCACCTGCACAAAACGGGTGTTATCTGAAGACAATACGTGGCCATTACTGTTTAAATACACAATAAGGGCACACAATGATAACTGGTCAAAATGTTAACATTTTAGGATTGTGAATTTTTTAATTTGGTGCAGTTTACTTTTCTTGGGATACGCCCTTCATGCATTCGGGTTAATTTTAACCAATACTTTATAATGCGGACCTGCGCATTGACATAAAGCGGGTAGCGACAACATTCACCATAGACAATGGCATTTGGCGTTTGTTGCCAAAAGATTAACTCGTTCTAATTGATCATACCACTGGTAACCCCATACTTCTGACCCATATAAAAGTATTGGTAATACCTGTGTATCAAATATTTTGAAATATACTTTTGGATCAATCATTCCTATTTTATTCAAATTTATATTTATTTCCATCAAAGTCGGTTTTCCACGATCTGCTAGATCAGCAATACACTTTGTCATCTTGAAAGTTGAAGAAAATATTACACCTAAGTACCTATAGCTGTTAACTATGGGCAGAGGGATGTCTTTGTATGTCCATTTCTTCTTGGCATATAAGGCGCCTCCCCTTCTGAAAACAACTTTAGATCTGCCCAATTGGAAAGTCTGTTATTGATAACACCTGTATATATCTTGCTTATAACACTTAATAGTGAAATTCCCCTGTAGTTGTCTGGAATCTTCATATCTCCCTTCTTATGTAGCGGTACTATAATAGACTGGGTCCAAACTGAAGGAAATATAGAGTAGTAGATCTTATTAAAGAGGCAAATAAAAAAAGGCATAAAACTGTCTGATGTACTTTTTAACATTTCAATCAAAATCTCATCTATACCCGCGGATTTGCCATTTTGTATATGATGAAGACCCTTTTCTATTTCTTCCTCTGTTATAGGCGATTCTAGTATAATATCATCAATTTCATCTAAAGGCGGGTCTTCAATGTGATTGTCATGGGGGGTTTATACTGTCGGACTGAAACATATCACTGAAATATCTAAAACCACATATTCTGACTGATAGTGTTAAAATGACGGGGTGCTGTAGATATACCCCTAAGTACCCTCCAAAATCTAGCAGGGTTATTTGTTGTTTGTTTTAACATATCTGCTTTTTTTACTTGATAAGCTTGTTTTGTCTGCCTACAAATGCTCTTGTATTTATTTATTTCAACACAATAAAGACGCTTATTTTGAACAGATTTGCTTTTCCGAAAGTGTCTTAAAGTCTTGCGAGTTCGATACTTTGCTCGCTTACAGTGAATATAAAAAAAGCCACTAGAAGCGCCTGTAAATTTACGCTTTCTCATACATTCGGCTGCTGTTAAAACGACCTGGATATATGACTCGAGAGCGCGATCGATGCTTATATCCACGAGCTGTGTTGCTGCTAACAAAGATATTGGGAGGCACAGTGGATATTTTCGATATATGCATTAGCTAGAGTTAGATTCCAGGCGTATTTGTAATTATCACTACATACATCTGAATGTTGCTGATTATACATTTTCAGTTGCTTTTCTTGATGTATGAGAGACATTTCTAATGGCATATGATCCGATTCAACCCTGTCGTTTACATACAATGATCCCACTAGCTGAAAAGCATCAACTCCAGCGATAAAATAATAATTTACACTTGAACCCTGCTCAGATATAAAGGTAAATTCTCCGTCGGCGTCCCCAGACACTCGACCGTTAAGAATATATATATTAAAAGTATAACACAAGTTAAGCAATATTCTTCCAAATCTATTGGTAACATTGTCACTTGACTTGCGATTTTTAAGTGGTACCGGTTCCTCTTGAGGAAAAACGTTACCGGTAAAGTCAGATAAATTCGCAGGCGGGTTGTAACTTTGTCCATCTCTGGCGTTCAGATCACCGGTGATAATCACGTAACAGTCAGCTAAGATATCTGGGTTCTCAACCAGCCACTGTTCAAGGAGTTCAATACCATTACCTTTTCCACTTGATGTACAGTATGTTGACCCCTCTGGTGGTACGTACATACCTATCAAGAAAATATCCTTTTTGCTTGCAGTACCCGTTTAGATATTCTTAGAGCAACAGAATTGTCAATACCAAGCATTACCTGTGTGCACAATGCATCTAATGACTTATTAACAAAAACATACATACCGCCTAACAGTCGTCCATGACGGGCAGTTTTATGTGCCTTTGCTAAATAAGGGGTATTTTCTGATAAATGTGGAATTGATAATAATTTATCGCTGAACGTTTCCAGTAAATACACAATATCAAACTCTGATAAATATTTCAGAAATTACAATCATCGAGTTTAGATGATATCCCGTTAATATTCCAGGATAGAACTTTCAGGTTATGAGTGAGTAAACACTCATCTGCTAAGAGATTGTTAAGGATTGGTGCGGAAGGATGCTCTGGGCCAGGACCACACCCCTATTTAGGAGCGTCACCGTTATTCATATTCAAGCTATATGGTCTGCAAATAATTGAATCTGGCTCTCTGACATGGTTGATGCAAGTCATCTTATCCCAATTGCATAGATCAGTGGTACATTTGATGGACCCAGCAATCTTTTTCTCTTTGTAAGGTGTTTTTGTAGCTTTGGAATCCAGTACAAACGAGGAACGAACATGCATTTGGGTTTTAGAGTCAAGACAAACGTTGATAGTTAATCGAATCTGGCTCTCTGACATTGTTGATGCATGACATTGTATCCCAATTGCATCGATCGGTGCTCGTGATGTCAA